TAGCTTGAAAACGCACTTGTGCGTGTATTTGTTTGTGTCGAGTAAATTGTTTTCTTGCTTCATTTGTATGAATCTTCACTAATCCTTTTGCTTAATCCCTAACTGCACTTAAATTGTTTTTTTTTTCGTTGCATCTATATTCATTGTTGTGTTATTTTGCAAATTTGAATTGGTCGTTGTACACATTGCATTGCACATTGCTCACAATCAACGAACTCAATTGCAATATTACAACGTTGGTTGGTTGTTACAATTGTGGAATGAGAACGTTGAAAATGAATGACGAAATAATTTGATAAAGTTTGGAAATGCTTTCCCTATTACAAAGTGTAAATGAATTATCATTGAATGTTTTCTTTCTTTTTTTTTCGAAGAAATCATTTATGTGTGAAATTGTTCGTTGCATTTATCAATAATAATAAAACAATTCTTTCTCCTCTCTTCGCATTCTTTTTCGCAGTTCAAAATGCTGTTTTCAATCAGTTTTACTACTTTTTCCAGTGATTCTGGCAGAATGTCGTGGTATTTTTTACAGATTTCTAGCAGCATATATGCTAATAAATACTACTAATGATTATCGAGCTCATTAAGTGTTCTATATCCATACACAAACCATCTGTTTGTTTATTGCCATCCATACGATGTTTGTAATGCAGAGGAGATATATTAGTTCAGTGAGTGAGATGTTTACGCTTAGAAGACAACAAAAGCACTGAAGCACTAATCTGGCTTATGGATTTATGTGTGGTTAGCGAACGGCACAAGAAAGTGGATATGTATTATTGCTGCTTAGAAATGATGAATTACGGTTTTGGATTTTGTTTCGTTTAACTTACAAAGTGAAATCATTTTTTGTGTTGCGTTGGATTACATCTTGAATTATTTATTATATCCTCGAATCGTATATATGCTTTAGCCTAGATATATAGCCATCATACATATATATATGTATCGAATGAGCATGCGGCGTACACGTACACAAACTTATATAAATCGAAAATAATCCCCAAGAGGACGAGATTATCACAATAAGTTTTTCCACTTTCCATACTTGAGTACACGCTAGCTTCATCAATGTCGTATGTCAGCAGCACTATCTGTCTTATATTCAGTGCTTTGCGTTCTTTATCAAATGTTTACCCGTTCATTAAACATCATTACTCGTCTATTGTTTCATTTTCTTCTCCCTTAGCAATGTGTTCGTTCCGATTCAATGTGATATACATTATGCATCTAGTCGAAATATTGAATGCAGTTTCAGAATGCATTAACTAATAATTCATTGCAAGCATATTAATTGATTTCACCTCGTCTTATAGTTAGTTGTTCGTTTCAATAGAATCAATCAACACGTAGAATGATAACTGAGTGCATCCTCTCCGTTATAGATGTTTGTCACATGCATTGAATCGTTTCCGTCATTCGTTCGTTCACATTGTGGTGGTGCATCGATCATCGATTAATATTTTAAAAGCGTGAATAGTCCTTGCTCATCTTAATATCATAAGATTGTTCGTTGCCTAGCAGTTCATTGATGGAAAAGAGAGTGAATCAAGCAGCTAGCAAACGTTGATCAGAGATACTTTAATTGAGCCACATGATGACCATCCTCTGACCCGACATTTTGAACATATGAGCAGCTGTACGGGCGCGAATAGCTTACGATGCCAACCAATTGATACGTTTCGTCATAATAAATATCATGGTCATCACTAAAAACGTGTAATTCGTATAATATCCCGATGTGATGTGTGCTGTTTGTTTATTCGCATATACAAACAATCGTGTTCGTGTAACATAAACATAACCCGAACGCTATTATCGATCAGTCCATCCCTTTCCTATTTTCTGATCAATCAATCGATAATAACATACGTGTTATTTTATACGTTCTCGTATATTACTTCATCTTATCATATTACTCATTCATTGATAATGAATATATTTGTT